GGGTTTCACCATGTTGACCAGGATGGTCTCGATCTCTTGACCTTGTGATCCACCCGCCTCGGCCTCCCAAAGTGCTGGGATTACAGGCTTGAGCCACCGCGCCCGGCCTAGCATAGTTTACTCTTTAAGTGTAGGAGTATGTGACTTAACCCTTGCCTAACATGTTTTTAGGTCCTGTTTATAACTAGGCATTTTACTATTACAGAGTCTGTTTTGTCATTCTTATTATCTTGATTTTACTGTTAATGCTGATTAGTTGTGCCTAATTGTTGGAATTCACTTGGAGTGGCTGGCAAAATATTAGGGAAATATTACAGAAAGTTATAGGTTATGGTCTCAAACCTTTTGGAAGGCCAAAAAGTTTTATTGGGACAGGCTGAAGACAGCCAGTCTGTTACGTTAGGAAAAGATAGGGATGATAAAAGGCCTCCGGTTCAGTCTATTTACCCCTCATCCCTTTGTCTCTACTCTGTTTACTCATGTAAACTTTGTGCTGGATGTCCCTCTCAGGGGGAGGTCAAAGGGGAATCACCCATTAACCGTGTTTACTCTGGGCCTCTGAACTTAAAGCTTTTATCATTCATAAAACCACTCTTTTAACCATGTTAACTATCCACAAGCATGTTAACTTAGAACTTCTGTTATGAAATCTTTACTGAATAAATGTGAGGATGGAGCAGGGTGGTCTTGGTTGATTGGCTGCATTTCGCCCTCTGAAAGCAGCTGATGACCATCCCTAGCCCATGTGAATCACCGAACCAGGTGTGAGAGTGCATTTATTCATCCGTTGTTGAGTCACAGTCTGCAGGACAGACCTCGGTAGGTGATGACCAACATCGCAGGTGGTGACCCCGATGTGATTGAGATGATGTGTGTGACATGTGATGTGTGTGGTGTGTGTGTGGTGTGTAGTGTGAAGCTTGTGTATGTGGCGTGTGATGTGTGTGTTGTATGTGACACATAATGTGTGTTGTGTGTGTTCAGCATGTATGTAATATGTGTGACATGTGATGTGTGCTGTGTGTGCTGTGTGTGTGGTATGGTGTATGTGTGGTGTGTAGTGTAGTGCTTGTGTATGTGGTGTATGTGTGTGGTGTGTGGTGTGCTGTGTGTGTGGTGTTTGTGACGTGATATGTGATGTGTGTCATGTGATGTATGTTGTGTGTGTTGTGTGTGTGGTGTGTATGACATGTGATGTGTGTGTGGTATGTGATGTGGTGTATGTGTGGTGTGTGTGTGATGTGTGGTGTGTGGCATATATGTGGTGTGTGATGTGGTGTATGTGCAGTGTGTGCGATATGTGGGGTGTGTGGTGTGTGTGGTGTGGTGTGTGATATGGTATTTGTGTATGTGGTGTATGTGTGGGGTGTGGGGTGTGTGTGTGTGATGTGGTGTATGTGTGGTGTGTGTGTGATGTGTGGTGTGTGGCATGTGTGTGGTGTGTGATGTGGTGTATGTGCAGTGTGTGTGTGATATGTGGGGTGTGTGGTGTGTGTGGTGTGGCGTGTGATGTGGTATTTGTGTATGTGGTATATGTGTGGGGTGTGGGGTGTGTGTATGATATATGTGGCATATGTGTGGTGTGTGATGTAGTGTATGTGTGGTGTGTGTGTGGTTTGTGTGGTACGTGATGTGTGTGTGTGATGTGTGTGGTGTGTGTGTGTGATGTGTGTGGTGTGTGTGAGTGGTGTGTGTGGGGTGCGTGATGTGGTCTGTGTGTGATGTGTGTGGTGTGTGTGATGTATGGGGTGTGGTGTGTGTGTGTGTGTGGTGTGATATGCGTGTGTGTTGAGGTGGGAGTAGGGGCTTCCTGATGAAGGCTATTCTGTCTCAGTCAGTAGCAGCTCTTGTGGTGCAGCTAGCCTTTGGAGCTGGGAGGCCCTAGAATAGAGCGCTGACTTAGGCCCTTGTAAGCTGAGCGAGTTGGGTCACTTTGTTATCCCTCCACGCTGCAGTTTTCGCACCTGTGGAGTGGGGTGATAGCCTCTGTCACACAGTACTGTCCAATGCGCCTCTCCGCAATGATGGAAATGTCCTGTGCCTGCAGTGGCCAATATAGCAGCCACCAGCCACGTGTGGCCTCTTAGCATTTGGAATGTGGCCAGTGCTACTGAGAAACAGAACGCTTCACTTTATCTAACCTGGAAGAGTCATAAATAGCCATGTGTGGCTCATGGCAACTGTTTATAGGGTAGATGAGATAATGATTAAGAAGCGCTCAGGGCAGAGCCAGACACCTGCCCTCTGTGCTGCTTTGACGCACAAGCAAGTTGAAATTCTGGGAGTTCTAATTCAGAATTCTCACGAATACAACCAAACCTTAGCAATCCTCAAAGGTCTATAACTCAGACAATCTGCAGGCAGGGAACGCAGGGTGCTGAGAGCTTGGTGACGCAGGACTCGGAAGTGCATGGGGGACTCTGATTTAGTGCTGCAGGTTGAGCATGTCCAGGCCGAGGACCCTGGGAGTAGTGGAGGGCCCTGTGCGCTGGTGGTTAGGGACAGACGTGAAACTCCAGTTCTGATACCTCCCAGAAGTAAGACCTCGACTTTGAGTGCATTACCCAACCCTTCAAAGGCTTCGTTTTTCTTGGGATGCTAATTATAGTACCTGCTGCTACAGTAGATGAATTACATGAATTAATACCTATAAAGTGCTTGGAACAGAGTAAGTGCTCAATAGGTGTCTGCCTATTGTGGTGGTGGTGGCAGCAACAACAGAACTCTAAGTGTAAAATGTGAATGCGGGAACAGCTGGCTGGAGGAGGGCCTTTGTGCTCTGGGGGAGGGAGGGGCACAGACCCCAGCCAGCTCTTTCCTCTTGAACCCCATCCCCAGTGAAACTAAAAATTAATCTGCCTGCACATTTTTGCAACTGAATTGGCTCCAGGGAAAACGCCCCCTGGCTGTGTTTCAAATCCATGTGTAGCTGCTTCTGCAGGCTGAGATTAAGAAAACTTGGACTTCTGTGTGGGGCAGCCTGAAATCTGTGTCACAGCTTTTCGCTCCCAGCTCAGGACTTTGATTCTTTCTGCCACAAGGATGGACTGAGTACTGGGCTTGTTACAGTGTGATTAAAACCCCCAGGTGATGACAGGCAGCCCTCCAAGGCCCTAGGACTGCCTTCTTTGTGTCTCTTTAGGCTTGAGGCTCCACGGCCCCGTCCTTGGGAGAAGTCAGCTCCAGCACCATGAAAGGCATCCTCATTGCTGGTCTCATGGCAGTGCTTCTGGTTTCCGCTGTAGGTAAGAGAAGCCACAGGCCCCTCTTTAAAATGGAGACCCCCTTTTCCACCTCACCAGTGTCTTCTGGCTCTCAAAGCCCTGAGGGCCTCACGTGTTACATTGTGGACAGAGAGGACCAGGGGACCTATCTGTGCAGCCTGCTTTCAATGGGGCCACTCTGTACTGTTGTTCAAGGTTGGATCTTTCCACTGGGGAATAGTGAGCAGCGGGAGAAACTAATTAGGGTGGCTGCATCTCATAGCATCAATTTCGGGATCCCCAGAGGGCAGCGATGCCACCCCATCTGTGTCTTTCACTGCAAGGTGGGAGCAGTGCCTTTCCTAGCATAGAGTATGCTCTATAAATGTCTACTGAAGCTGACAGACGTTGGGTATCTTATCTCCTCAGAATCCCTGAGCTGTGTGCAGTGTAAGTCATGGGAAAAGTCCTGTGTCAGCAGCGCTGCCACTGAATGTCCCTCACATGCCAACACCAGCTGCATCAGTTCCTCAGCCAACTCTTCTTTAGGTGAGTCTGGGTGTGTGTGTCCTTTCTGCCTCTGGGATTGGCAGTGGGCAGGAGCTAGAGAGGATGACCAGGGAGGAGGAAAGGCAGAGATGGGGACATGCCGTGCAAGGGCAGGGGAACTTACAAAGGCGATTCCCAGGAGGAACAACGTGTGGCTGAGACGACCCAGAGCCAGACAAGAACACAGGGATGGTGCAGACAAGAAACCCTGACGTGTTTTGGAAATGGCTGCCCTTGATCACAAAGCTTCATTCTAGACACATATAAGTGGATGTGAGAAGCAAGGGCAGCTCTTAGTTAAATTAACAGGCAGATCTGCTCAGGATGCTTTCATTCTTCCTTTTCTCTTCCTTGTGGTTCCTCCTCTTCTAGATCAAACATTCTTTCCGCATTCAGGACTTCCCCACAGGGTGTGTTGAGTATAACCCTTACTGTAACCTCTTTCTCAGAGCACTTAGGGCTCTTTACTTTTTTATAATACACACATTCAAACATACTTTATGTATGTTTAAAGTAGGAAGAAGAGTGTAACGAATTGCCAGGTAACAACTACCCTATGTCAGCAGTTATTAACATTTTGCTATTTTTTGGCTATAGTTTTTTTTTAATATAATATTTTTGGTTATGGTATTTTAAAGTAAACATTATATAAATATACATATACATATTTATATTTATATAATGTGTGTGTATGTACGTGCCATTTGTCATTTTCTCCATAAATACTTCACTATGTATCTCTGATAATACTTTTTTTTTTTTACATAACTATCATCCTGCTATGGTTGGATATTCCCTCCAAAATTAATGTTGAAACTTAATTGCCATTGTGATTTTATTAAGAGGTGATTAGGCCATGAGGACTCCACCCTTGTGAATGGATAAACATCATTAATGTGGAGGTGGGTTCCTGATAAAAGGGGGTCTGGCCCTCTCTTTCCCTCACTTGCTGTCACTATCTCTTGCCCTTCTGCCATGGGATGATGCAGAAGAAAGTCCTCACCAGAGGCTGGAACTTGATATTGTACTTCCCAGACTCTAGAATCATAAAAAATAAATTTCTTTTCTTTATAAATTACTCAATCTATGGCATTCTGTTATAGTAACACAAAATGAACTAAGACACATACTGTTATCATGTCTAAGAAAGTTAGCTGTAATTCTTTAATTTCTTCTAATACCCAGGCCATATTAAACATTTCTCAGTTGTTTCAAACATGTCATGACATGGTCTATGTGTGGAATTAGGATCCAAGCAAAATCCCCACATTGCATTTTGCTGTTAGGTCTGTTAAGCCTAATTTGTTTTATAACAGCTTCCATCATTTTTTGTTCAATTCTATTGATTTGTTGGAGAAGTGGGTCATTTGCCCTGTAGCTGTCCCTTTTTCTAGTTGTGGTTGATTGCTTCCTAGGATATCATTTAACTTGTTCTCCTGTTCTCAGTATTTCTTGTATAGGGAAGCAGTGCTATCTAGTAGCACTTTCTTCAATGATGGAATTATCTACAGTAATACTGTCCCATACTGTAGTCACATATGGCTACTGAGCACTTGAAATACGGCTACTATGACCGAGGAACTTAATTTTAAATTTGATTAGATTTTAATTAATAAAGTTTAAATTTAAATCGGTACAAATAGCTCATGGCTCTCAGGTAGCTCTGGCTAGAAGCTTGACTGGATTCAGGTTCAATTTTTAGGCAGGAACTGTGGATGTCATATTGCACATGAGGCTCGTCACGTCTGCTTGATCATTTCCACAGATCTTAGGACTGTCTAGTGGCTTCAGGGGCTGCCCGCCTGGACCACCCATTTTCAGGCTCCCCATCAGCCTTTTGCCTGGAGTTTAACCTACACCTCTGATAGTCTCCTACTGAAAGAAGGAACTACCTGATGGGGAAGAATTATTATGATTATCATTGCTATTCCGGAAAACCCTCTCCAGTGTCTTTAAAGCTGCACTGAACTGTGGTTGCATTTTCTGCCTTTGCCTGAAGCACTTGCAATTCACGGTCCCTACCTTCCCCACACCTGCTCCTTACGGGGGCTGACAGTCTGTGTTTGTCTTTGTGTAGAGAGAGCAACCGGATCATACCAGAATACGTCCTGCTCCGCGGAGAACTGCAGTGAGGAGACACATGTTACAGCCCTCGCTGTCCACGTGTGTGCTGAAGAACACTTTCATTTTGTGAGCCAGTGCTGCCAAGGAAAGGAGTGTAACAGCACCAGCGATGCCCTGGGTGGGTGCTGGCCTTGCGAGCAGCCTCCTGTGTTCTCCCAGCCCTGGATCTCCCTTTTTCACCTGTTTTCCTTTCCCTCGGGTGGATGTCGCAAGTCTAGACACTTGAGTGCATATCCGGATGGCATTAACATCTGACTTACAGCAATGATGTAGGAAACAGACCGGGCAAAGCAGCACTTCTGCCACGCCTCCCCTCTTTCTTAGTGAAGACGAACAGTACGAGCACTCAGGTTGTGTGAGGGGCTTTATCAGTGCCCATCAGTTGTTCTCAAATTGTGTGATCGCAGGCCCTCTGTTACCACTCTGTGTCTTAAAATTTATTGAGGACCCCAAAGAACTTTCATTTATGTGGACTCCATCTACCAATACATACTGTCTTAGAAATTAAAACCAAGACAATTTAGAAATTGTAACTAGTTCTCCAGAATAACCAAAACCCATTACACATCAACATTAATAATGTTTTTACATAGAAATAACTATATTTTCCAAAAGAAAGATATTTAATGGGATGGGTGGCATTGCTATTGTACCTTTTGCAAAGTGTTTAGTTTCTGTCTTAATAGAAGACAGCTGGATTCTCATATTAACTTGTGCATTTAGTCTGTTACAGTCTCACACATCATGTAGCCTCTGGAAAGCTCCACTTTACATTCACAAGGGAAAGAGAGTAAAATAAGTGAATAATATCTTAGTATTATCATGAATATTGTCAGAACATTGCAGTACTCCCTGCAAGGGTCTCAGGGACTCAGGGGTTTAATTTGAGATCTGCTGATCTAGACCACAGCTCTCTTTCTGAAGAACAGAAAATATGGCTGAAAAGGCAAAATTTATTGGCCATGGTCATAAAGCACAGTTAAGGAACAGCAGAACTGGTTTCATTGTACATTTTTTTCTTCTAGTCATAATGTTAAATAATGGCCTGTGTTCATTTGTTCAGAACAAGGTTAGTAACAGTTACACACTTGCCGTCTCATGTTCAGAATGGCTAGCTAATGCTGACGTTGACTATAGTTTGGTTTTAGCTCAAAATCTTACCTTTCTCAGTCTATATGCCAACACATCGATGAACCATAGTTCGTGAAGATGAGATAGTCTGTGAGGTCAGATCTATGGAGTGTGTAGTAAATATTTTGAGGGGACATGGTGTTTTCCAGGCTACATCTGAGATTCCCAAGGATGCGATTCCTCCGTTCTCGGATCTCTTTGGTGGTTTATTCGCTTGGCTATCCCCTTCCCCCCACGTTCTGTCTGAAAACACTGTCCTGAGTCATGACTCTTACTCTACCAGACTCTCCACTGAAGAATGTGTCCAGCAGCACAGAGTGCCCTGCTTGTTTTGAATCTAATGGAACTTCCTGCAGTGGGAAACCCTGGAAATGTTATGAAAACGAACAGTGCATCTTTCTAGTTGCAGACTGGAAGACTGTTAAGTCTTGGAGTTCTAATTCCCATGTGGGACTTGAGTTGGAAACATGTCGAGTCTTGGTTCATAAATTCTGAGTTAACACAGAAGGACCAGCGGAGTCGTGGGACGAGGCGGCAGGGTCATAATGTCTTTGAAATCAAGAGGCTGTTAATGGGGCCTTGAGCTAGTTGCTGTTTTCACCTTCTTTCACTAGAGCTGTTTCTCCCGGGCTGCGCTTCTCTCAAACTCTAGTCTCCTGTGGCTTATAATCAAGTCATGTCTGTCTACATGCATCACACCACTCCTGACATTTGCTTCTTATTTTTTTTTTTTTTTTTTTTTTTTTTGAGATGGAGTCTTACTTTGTCACCCAGGCTGGAGTGCAGTGACACAATCTCAGCTCACTGCAACCTCCACCTCCCGATTCAAGCGATTCTTCTGCCTCAGCCTCCCAAGAATCTGGGATTACTGGCATCTGCTACCACACCCAGCTAATTTTTGCATTTTTGGTAGAGACAGGGTTTTACCATGTTGGCCAGGATGGTCTTGATCTCCTGACCTCGTGATCCACCCTCCTCGGCCTCCCAAAGTGCTGGGATTACAGGCGTGGGCCCATTTACATCTTTACTAGGTTGCATCACTGCATAGGTGAGGGTGGGTGCAACTTTTATTTCCTTTTATATCTACACTTTTCCTCTTTACTTGTCACTAAGAGGTGTTGGCTTTTGGTAGCTTGGATCACCTGGCAGAAAGAGTCAAATTGGGTTTTAAAGTCCAACCAATTGTCCTTTTCTACAAAAGGAATTTGATACTAACCATTGTAAAATACACATTTCTAACATTTGCCCAAATAGTTACAGAGTAATGAATTTTTTAAGGTTAGTTAATTGCTGTTAACAACATCGGCGATGCCCTGGGTGGGTGCTGGCCTTGCGGGCAGCCTCCTGTGTCCTCCCAGCCCTGGCTCTTCCTTTTTCACCTGTTCTCCTTTCCCTCAGGGGGACATTGCAAGTGCAGGCACTTGAGGGCATATCCAGATGGCATTAACATCTGACTTACAGCGATTATGTAGGAAACAGATGGGGCAAACCAGCACTTCTGCCAAGCTTCCCCTCTTTCTTAGTGAGGACAGACAGTACAAGTGCTTCAGGTGGTGTGAGAGGGCATTAGTGCCCATCAGTCATTCTCAAATTGTGTGATCTCAGGCCCTCTGTTATGACTCTGTGTCTTAAAAATTATTGAGGACCCCAAATAACTTTTGTTTATGTGGACTCCATCTATCAGTATATGCGGTCTTAGAAATTAAAGCTGAGAAAATTTAGAAACCTTAACTAGTTAAAGAGTTAAAGAACAACCTCCAAAGCCTATGTTCAATACAATAGATATTTATTTCTTGCTGGAGCAGTTCATTGCAGAGTCTGAGGCATGGGTTCCTTCTGTCTTGTAGCTCTGGCCCCCACCCACCAAGCCTTGGCAGCTCTGTACTGTGTCCTCTGCGTCTTGCCAGCAGTAGAAAAGAGAGGTGGTAGAGGAAGGCAGGAGGGATTTTATGGATTAGGCCTGGACGTGAATGCATCACTCCCTTCCACATTCCATTGACTAGGACCCAGTAAGATAGCCAGGCTGAGAACGTAGAGTAGTATGACCCAGAAGGAAGGAAAGAGGCATGAAGCTAAAATGAACAACAAGCCAGTCTCTGCCAAAGTAGTAAGAGTTTAAGAGCACTAATATCCAGGTACAGTTTGATTTTAATATTTGTGAAGTGTCAATTATAGCATCAGAATCAGTGTTTACCTGTAATCATTTATTTTTCAGTAGCATCAAGGGCCATGCTTATTCTGAACCTCTTTTTTTTGTTTTTTGAGATACGGTCTCACTCTGTCACCCAGGCTGGAGTGCAGTGGTGCGATCTCAGTTCACTGAAACCTCTGTCTCCTGGGTTCAAGCGATTCTCCTGCCTCAGCTTCCTGAGTAGCTGGGATTACAAACATAAGCCACCACCCCTGGCTGCTTTTTGTATTTTTAGTAGAGACGGGGTTTCCCCATGTTGGCCAGGCTGGTCCCAAACTCCTAATCTCAGGTGATCCACCAGCCTCAGCCTCCCAAAGTGCTGGGATTATAGGTGTGAGCCACAGTGCCCAGCCCTGAACCCCTTTATTATTTTTTTAAGTGCACTTTATTTTTCAGAGTAGTTTTAGATTCACAGAAAAACTGGGCAGAAGTTATAGAAATTTCCCATGTACCCATGCTCCCAACATGCAAACTTCTCCATTGTCAACATCCCCCCCAGAGGGGGACATTTGTTATAATCATTGAGGCTACATTGATACATCATTATCTCCCAAAGTTGGTGGCTTACATTAGGGTTTCCTCTTGGTGTATATATTCCTTGCGTTTGGACAAATGTACAATGATACATAGCCACCATTGTAGTAGTGCCATACAGAGTATTTCCACTGCCTGAAAACTCCTCTGTGCTCTACCTACTCATCCCTCCCTCCCTTCTAAGCTCTGACGACCACTGGTCTTGTTGTTGTTGTTGTTGAGATGGAGTCTTGCTCCATCGCCAGGCTGGAGTGCGGTGGTGCGATCTCGGCTCACTGCAACCTCCATCTCCTGGGTTCAAGCAATTCTTCTGCCTCAACCTCCTGAGTAGCTGGGACTACAGGTGCACGCCACCACGCGCAGCTAATTTTTGTATTTTTAGTAGAGACGGGGTTTCATCATGTTGGCCAGGATAGTCCCAATCTCTTGACCTCGTGATTTGCCCACCTCAGCCTCCCAAAGTGTTGGGATTACAGGCATGAACTACTGCCCCTGGCCAACCACTGATATTTTTACTGCCTCCACAGTTTTGCCTTTTCCACACTATACTAGAGTTGAAATCATACATTATGTAGCATTTTCAAAATGCCTTCTTTCCCTTAGTAAAATGCATTTAAAGCTCTTTCACTTTTAAAATATCTGGGATGTCTAAACTGCTATGATTTTTAATTCTAAAGCTGTGTCTAGGGCAACATGACATCAGAAGGATTTTCTCTCTGCTTATCTGGTTTCCAGGTCTGATAAAAGGGATAGATTTTCTTTTTTCTCATAGGATTCGGCTTAAGCTGAAAGCCAGACAAACTAAAGCTATCATAAATATAGGGGTAGTTTTGTTTGTTTTTGTCCAAGATCATTCTTTTAGTACAGTACAAATGTTCCATGAAACACACCTTCCTACCTCACTCTAAATCAATCTTCAGCACTGGCCAGGTGTGGGGGCTCATGCCTGTAATCCCAGCTCTTTGAAAGGCTGAGGCAGCCTGATCACTTGAGGTCAGGGATTCAAGACCAGCCTGGCCAACATGGTGAAAGCCCATCTCTACTAAAAATACAAAAACTAGCCAGGCATGGTGGTGTGTGCCTGTAGTCCCAGCTACTGGGGAGGCTGAGGCAGGAGAATTGCTTGAACCTGAGAGACAGAGGCTTCAGTGAGCCAAGATCACTCCACTGCACTCCAGCCTGGGCTACAGAGCAAGACTCCATCTCAAAACAAAACAAAAACTTCAGCACTGATGCTTGCTATAAAACAGCATTTGGAGGTTTCTCACTCCTTTTCCAAGCAAGTTTAGAGTCAGCGTTTGTTGTTGCTTGAGACAGGATCTCACTCTGTCACCTAGGCTGGAATGCAGTGGTGTGATTGCTGGCTCACAGCTGCCCCAAACTCCTGGCTCAAGCCAGTCTCCCACCTCAGCCTCCCAAGTACTGGGACTACAGGCGTGTGCCACCAGCCCTGCATAACTTTGTAATTTTCTATAGAAACAGGTTGTCACTATGTTACCCAGTGGTTTCAAACTCCTGGCTGCAAGCAGTCCTCTCACCTCAGCCTCCCAAAGTGCTAAGATTACAGGCACAAGCCACCCTCCCTGGTCCCAGAGCCAGCCTTGAACTCAAATTGCAGCTCTGCCCCTGACAAGTGGCAGGTGGAGTCACTTCACCTCCTTGAGTCCCTTTCCTCTGAGGGCCCAGCTTCCAGGGCTGTTCGAATTGCAGCTGACAGAGCAGGTGGGGCACACAGTGAGTGCTCAGTAGATGGTAGCTGCTATCATTATTACATCTTTGCAAATGCCCTTGGCCTTTTCCTAGTACCTGAACATCAAAACATGATTAAACATAGCAGAACTCCAATTTATGGCAGAGATATGCCCTGGTCTCCTACTTCCCTTCAGTGGCCTTTCCTTCTTCTCAGGGAAGACTCAGGCAGGGAGAACTCAGGTCCAGAGAGGAGCGAGGACTGAAAGCAAACCCTAGAAGGGGAGAGGGAAGTCCTGAACTGAGGACAGAGAACTGCCTTTTGAGCCTGTTCCTGGCTTCTCTACCTGCCAGCTACACAGGGACACAGGTGTGAGTCTCAGGTCCAGTGCTGACCCTCATCTTTTAGCCTGGGCTTGCCCCTCACCTCCAGGAGTCTGCTTCCTCCAGGGTTAGGTGTAGGTGGGAGTCTAGGCCTCTGGCCTCATCGTGACCTTGACTCTGGATGCGCAGGCTCCTTCTTCCTATGTGGGTTTCAGGAGCAGACTAGCTTTTGCCGGTCACTGGGCTACCACGCTGCAGGTGACGAACGAAGAACGGGCGTGGGTGGAAGGACAGAGGACTGAGTGGGGTCCCTACTGTCTCCTTTGCATTCACAGAAACTGAGTCTAAGCATCTTGTGCTGAAAAGCTGTTCCAGTGTCAGTAACTCCACCTGTCAGTTCCTGTCTGGTGAAAATAAGGCAGTTGGAGGAGTCATCTTTCAAAAGTTCGAGTGTACAGATGCAAACAGCTTAACGCCCATGTCTACACCGGCTGCTTCCCATAACATGGGCTTCAAAGCTTCCTTCAACTTCCTGGTGCTTGCCAGTCTCCTTCTGCTGGGACTGCTGCTCTGAGGTCCTGGGGCTGACCTTCAAGCAGCATCCCTGGGGTGCTGCTACCCTCTTTCCCCACCCGTCCTGTTTAACTGCCCAGTAAGTGGGAGTCACACATCTCCAGGTAATGCTGACAGCTGCCTTGTTACCCCATTATTAAAGCACTGGTCCTGTCACTGCCCAAGTCTGTCCTTATGCATTCTGGGCTGGGCTTCATTTGAGCTGCCCTCTAGCGTCACCGCCCACTTCTGGGCTAGAGGTGGAGTCCTTGCCTTTGAAACCTGTGCACGTTTGTTTCTGGGATCCGATGATATCCCTGCTCCCTGCTCATCTTGCTTCTGAGAAGCCAACCCTTTGACCTTGTAGCCCCGTACCCTGGGGACCGACATGCCACCATCCCCACTCTCACACACAAGGAGTCCCCAGCCTACCCTATAAGGCCTTGTGTTGGCCCAGTACCAACACAGAAACTCCTTCAGTATTGGCCAAATATGGCTTTTCAACAGTTGTCCTGATTGCGGTCAGAAGTCCACAGCGCGTGAAGAAAACAGCAATGTCACCTCAGCGTCCCATCACAATGGGGCCCAAAGAGGGTTTGGAGGGGCTGCTGAAGACCAGCGTACGCCTCCTGTCTAGGCTTCACCGGGCAGCTGGCAATGCTGGGCTGCATTCCCAGCTGAGGAAGTTTTATCAGTCTTGTGCAGAATGGAATGTGGCTACAGAGCCCCGGTCCAGCCCTCAGAGAGCTTATAATCAAGCACAGAGTAACTAACTCCATATCAAAGACCAAGGGAGCAAGAAAACCATTCAATCGAATATACCCAGAGGTCCAGGTCTAGTAATTAAGGTGGGCCTTTTGAGCTGAACTTGGAAACATGGGGTTTGCTATAATAAATTTCCTTTTGTAAACTGATGTAGGTCAACATTAGTCCGGATTGCTGACAGTGCGTCAAGGACAAAGCCACCTAAAGGTCATGTGATGGCAACCCATCAGCACATGCACTCTTACTTATTTCAGCTTGTTATTTTGAACTGTAATTTTAGACTTACTGAAAAGTTGCAAAAATTGGTACAGAGAGTTCCACTATCTCCTTCAGGCAGCTTCTCCTCACGTTCACATTTTAGAGAATCACAATACAGTTACTGAAAGCAGGAAATGTACATTGAAACAATATTGTTAAGGAACAGAGCTCATTTGCATTTCACCAATTTTTATGAATGTCCTTTTTTTCCCTGGTCCAGAATCCAATTCTTTGCATTTAATTGTTATGTCCCCTCAGTCTCCTTCAAACAGTAACAGTTCTGGAATCTACCAAGACCTCGATAATTAAGAGTATTGTCCAATCATTTTGTAGAATGTTTCCCAATCTGAACTCGTCTGAAGTTTTCTTGTGATCAGATTGAGGTTATGCATTTGTGGCAAGAAAACTACAGCAATGATGTGCCTGCCTCAGTGCATTTTATCAGGAGATGCATGATGTCAGTGTGTCATATTATAGGTGTTGTTAAGGTTAGGGTTAGTCTTTCAGGTTTCTCCGTTGTAAAGTTGCTATTACTTTTTTTTTTTGAGCTGGAGTTTGCTCTGTTGCCCAGGCTGGAGTGCAGTGGTGTGATCTTGGCTCACTGCTACCTCTGTCTCCTGGGTTCAAGCAATTCTCCTGCCTCAGCCTCCTGAGTAGTTGGGATTAGAGGCACACACCACCATGCCCAGCTAATTAATTTTTGTATTTTTTTTTTAAGTAGAGATAGGGTTTCAACATGTTGGCCAGGCTGGTCTCAAACTCCTGACCCAGGGATCCGCCTGCCTCACAAAGTGCTGGGATTATAGGCATGAGCCACCGTGCCTGGCCATACTTCTTAATATGATAGTCTAGGTTATGCTGCTATAACAAACATACCATACCTTAGTTAAAAAAAAAACAAATCACACAATGTGACTTTATTTCTCAGCAACTTAAACTCCATATAGATGCTCCTGGTTGGGCATCTGTCTGGGACAGCTGTTCTCCAAGTCTAAGGAAGGTATCATGCTTCTCATGCTTCCTTTTTTTTTTTTTTTTTTGAGACAGAGTCTCTCTCTGTCACCCAGGCTGTAGTGCAGTGGCACGGTCTCAACTCACTGCAACCTCTGCCTCCTGAGTTCAAGTGATTCTCCTGCCTTAGCCTTCCAAGTAGCTGGGATTACAGGTGCATGCCACCATGCATGGCTAATTTTTTATTTTTAGTAGAGATGGGGTTTCACCATATTGGCCAGGCTGGTCTTGAACTCCTGACCTCAAGTGATCCACCTGTCTTGGCCTCCCAAAGTGCTGGGATTACAGGTGTGAGCCACCGCGCCCCACCAGGTGTCACGCTGCTTTTATCCCATGGTTCCACCATCCCCCATGACTTAGTGGACTCTCAGTTAAGTGCTCTGTCTGCAGCTGGCTGACAATTAAAAAGAGAGAGAGAGAGAGAGGGCCCAGAGAGCTGTGCAGAATGGCCTAGGGGCCAGAGCTGGCAGTGGCATCCATCACTTACGCTCATAATTCCGGCCCTGGAACCCTGAGCAAGAGACTTTTCCTCTCTGGGCCTTCGTGTCCCCACCTGTGTAATGGGGATAGTGCTAAGGTCTGCTACATGGGGTTGTGAGATCTGTAAACATAGATCTCCCTGTGAAGCTTAGCACAGAGCTTGGCAAGGAGTAAATGTTAACAGCAGAAGACTGTAGTCTGGAAGGTGCTCTCTAAGCACACTAGGAAGAGTAGAGGCCACAAGAAATGCTGATGTAGAAGGAATTGTCCCAGCTCAGCTCCCTCGGACTGTGCCAACCTCACTAAGGTTATAGCTGCTTCTGTTTCAGTCTCAGAATCTCCTATCCACTTCACTCACCCTTCCTAGGCCCTCCGTGGCTGCTGACACCATGGCCTCACAGACTGCAGTGGGGGCTTCTCTGCCTCTTATCTACATGGTCTGCACTAGCAGCTGACCTGTTCTGGAAGCCCCAGTGCTCAAGGCTGATGTGAGGAAGCAGTGCCATATTTGGGTAACAGCAAAGGGTCACATGGGAGGCTGCCTGAAGGGCAAGCAGGATCCGATCCCAGAGGTCTCCACAACACCGTAGATGACTCTGGCTTCAGACTGAGGGCCATGGGGAGTCAGTGTATAGTAAGTGAGAGAGAGTGGGATTAGGTTTCCATTCTGGGAAGCTTGCCTGGACTGCAGGATGAAGGTGGAAAGACAGCAGAAAGGGCAGCAAGAAGCTGAAACAGAAATCGTGGGTACCTGCCCAGGGGTAGATGTTTTTCATCCTATTAATGGAGGATAAACTAGTGCCCTACGGATGTACGTCCATGCATTACTGGCTCCCACTTCGTTATCCAGAGCCGGGAATTGAGCAAAGTGCCACTAACCCTTTTATTTCTCGTGGTTGTTCATGCTTAACTCTAGACTCCTGTCCTCTGGTGCCTGAGCCAGGTCTCATACTTTGCCCCGAAGCTAAAGCCCCTTACCGACAATTCTTCCTTAGGCCCAGCCTGGGCTCTAGGATAAGCTCCCATATCTACGAAACTCCGCAGAATTCTACACTCACACCGTATGGTTGGACTAATGACAAATAAGGCCCTTGTCTTTCCACAATACTTTCTAATTTGTAAAGCTCTTTTGACCATGTTTGTTTTATTTAGAATCAAATTGTACACAAAATTATATATTATGCAGGATATACATCCAATAAAATGTATGTGTGCAGACTGATGAGTATCAGCAAACTTGCCCATGTAACTACCCCCCACCCCAGTGAAGATATGAAAGCCTCTCCAGTAGTTCCCCTAGGCCTCTACACAGCTCACTCTACTCTAGCCCAGGCATCTCCACTCTCCCCTCCTGGAAGTGACCAGCAACACCCTGCTCACAATCCATTGAGTTGAGCATTCCCTCCGCAGCACCTGGACTCAAGACGACAGGCAGAACAGTCCCTAGGGCTCAACCTTTCCCAGCAACAACTCTGCCTCATGGAAGGGGTTAGGGTATCCATCAGGGTACTCTATCCATCTGGGCACTGTATCCATCAGACCCCAAGCCCTTTTGACCCTTCCTCACTGCCCCAGCCAGGAGGACAAAAGGAGGGCGTGGAGTTCCTTTCTTTGTGCTCACGACTGGGTTTTTAGCAGGTCTGAGCTAAAAGTTTCTTGAACTACATTCTGAACTACTCTCCAAATAACCTTTAATCTGAAATATAAATTGGACTGAAGTAAAAACCACTTATCACTATGTCTCTTCAATGTACATTTTTAATGTATACATAATAATTGTACATATGATATTTTATGGGGTACATGTGATATTTTGACACATGCATATAATACATAATAATCAAATCCAGGTATCGGGATATTCATCACTTCAGAATTTTATCAGTTTTTTTTTTGTATTGGGAACATCACAAAATTTTTTTTTTTTTTAGCTATTTTGAGGTACAAAAATTATAGCCTACTGTGCCATTGAACACAAGAACTTAGTCCTTCTATTGAAATGTAGTTTTGTTCTCCATTAACCAACCTCTCTTTATTCCCCAACCTCCCCCCTACCTTTACTAATCTCTGCTAACCACCATTCTACTCTTTATACCCATGAGATAAACTTAGTTAGTTCCCATATGAGTGAAAACATGCAATATTTATCTTTTTGTACCTGGCTTATTTCAGTTAACATACTTTCATTATCTTTTCATGATAAACTCTTAACAAATGGGGTATAGAAGGAACACACCTCAAAACAATAAAGGTCATATATGACAACTCTACAGTTAACATCCAGCCTTTCCTCTAAGATCTGGTATTAGACAGGATTTTCACTGTCATCACTTTTATTCATTGCAGTGATGGAAGTTCTAGCCCAAGCAATTAGACAAGAGAAGGAAATAAGGGACATCCAAATGAAAAAAAAAAAAAAAAGTCAAATTGTCCTTGTTTGCAGATGACATGATCTTATATTTAGAGAAACCTTACGATTACACCAAAAACTGTTAGAATTGCTAAATGAACTCAGTAAAGTAGCAGGATACACAGTTAACATACAAAAATCAGTAGTATTTCTAGCCTGGCCAGCCCCATGTTATCTGTTCCTTTCTGTACGTGTGGTAGACAAAGAAAAGGGAAGACGGAGCCTTCATGTTGAACATGCCTGGCCCTCAGGTAGCCTTTTCGCATTGGCACAGCTGCCAGCATTCACCCATGCAAGCTTCTAGCTTGCTTTTCTGTCTGCAGTTTGATTTTTCAGGCTGCTCTTTGTTAGAAGAGAAATGATTTGGGGCTGCTTTTTATTAAAAGGCAAACCTTGCTGAGGACTCTCTTACCCTCACTAACTGCCTAAATATTTTTTTTCTAGCTCTTGTATCATCTAGAGGGGGTGCTCCCAGACCTCAGCAAATTGTCCTATTGGCTTGAGCCATAAAGTTAGCTCATGCTGGTACCAAGCAATGTCAGGAGTTGTCAAAGTTTAAGGGGCATCTCCATTCAGAATCCCTCCATGGTTAACA